CATATTCTTAAACACATAGAGCCTCAATGATTTCAAATAAGGAACTGTGAACTTGTATAAATACATCCATATCAGCTTTCTTTTGCTTAGCATTTGTATAGAAGATACTTTTTCTACGTTCTCTCCTCTCCTCCTATATCCTCTTTTTTATTTGTAAGTTTGGTAACTATAGATTTACCTTTTTTTTTTTTTTTTTTTTTTTTGAGACAGGGTCTCATTCTGTCACTCATGCTGGAGTGCAGTGGTACTATCATAGCTCACTGTAAGCTCAAACTTCTGGACTCATGCAATTCTCCTGCCTCAGCCTCCCCAGTAGCTAGGACTCCAGGTGCCTGCCACCATGCCTGGCTAATTTCAAAATTATTTTGTAGAGACAGCGTCTTAAATTCCTAGTCTCAAGTGATCCTCCTGCCTTAGCCTCCCAAAGTGCTAGGATTACAGGTGTGGCCCACCACACCTGGCCTGCATGTCTATTATTTTAGTGCTTGTCTCCTGGGTTTTTTGTTTTTGGTTTTCATCACTAAATATTTCAGTATGTTTTGAAAAGAAAAGCCTCTTTTGTAAAAAAATAAAACCACCACACCACGATCACATGTAAAAAACAGTAATTCCTTAATATCAAATATCCAGTCTGCATTCAAATTCCCAATTGTTTCTTCTCTTTTAAAAATATAGTTTGAGGCCAGGCACGATGGCTCCCACCTGTAATCCCAGCACTTTGGGAGGCCGAGGCAGGCAGATCACCTCAGCTCAGGAGTTCAAGACCATCCTGGTCAACACGGTGAAACCCCGTCTCTACTAAAAATATAAAAAAATTAGCTGGGCGTGATGGTGGGTGCCTGTAGTCCCAGCTACTCGAGAGGCTGAGGCAGGAGAATGGTGTGAACCCCGGAGGTGGAGTTTGCAGTGAGCCGAGATCGTGCCACTGCACTTTAGCCTGGGCGACAAGAGCGAGACTCCATCTCAAAAATAAAAAATAAATAAATAAATAAATAAAAATACAGTTCGTTTGAATCAGAATTCAATATAGTCCATACACACTGCAATTGGGTGATTTGTCTCTTACATCTCTTTTAATCTACTGGATACTTTTTCTCCCCACTCCCTTGTAATTTATGTGTTAAAGAAACTGGGGCCAGACATGGTGGCTCATGCCTATAATCCCAGCACTTTGGAAGCCTAAGTTGGGAGGACTGCTTGAGCCCAGGAGTTCGAAACCAGCCTAGGCAACAAAGTGAGACCCTGTCTGTACAAAAAATAAAAAAAATAGCTGGGCATTGTGCACACCTGTGGTCCCAGCTACACAGGAGGCTGAGGTAGGAAGACAGCATGAGGAAGACAACCAGGAAGTTGAGGCTGCAGTGAGCCGTGTTCACGCCACTGCGCTCCAGCCTACGTGACAGAGCAAGACCCTGTCTCAAAAAAAAAAAAAAAAAAAAGGAAAAAAAAAAAGGAAATTGGATTGTTTGTTCCATAGAGTTTGCCATTCTAGGGGAATTTGCTGACTAGGTCCTCAAGGTTCACTGAATATGTTCCCCTATTTTCTGTATTTCCTGAATATTGACAGCAGGATCTAGAGTAATAATCTTTTTGTGTCATGGACTTCTTTGGCAGTCTGATGAAGCCTATAAATCTGTTTTCAGAATAATCTTTTAAATATATAAAATGTAAGAGATAGAATGACAAAGGAAACCAATTACACTGAATAACAAATTATATTGTGGTTTATTTTTTGGTAAGACTACTTACAAAGTAGCAAGCAACATTCTTAAGTTTTTAATATATTTGCCAATAAATTTTCCCATAGCATATTAATTTATTCAGTTATTTTTATCTTTTGAACATGACAAAACAATCTAACATGCTTTAATCACTGAACATGCTCCAACCCAATTGCATATTATTAATTTTATCTAGTTTGACCTCAGAGAGCATAATAAGTAAATTTAGCAATTTTTTCATCAATGTTTTTAACTTACTATCATACATTATATGAACTTCCAATAGGTTTACTTTTCTTCTTGCAGAAAACATCCTTAATATTTTTTCAACTAAAGTGAGAGTCTGTGGTTAGTACTGCCTTTGTACGTCAGAAATTATCTTTACTTTGCCCGCATTTTTAAATGATAGTTTAAAAGAATATAAAATTTCAGTAGAATTGATTTTCCCTTATCCTTCCTCTTATCCCTGTCCTCTGTTACCTAAGATGTTCATACAGTTGTCACTACTTGGTAGATAAACTGTTTTATCTAGTCTCATAGCTTTAAGTCTATCTGTCAATGACTAATAATTTTCTATCTTCAGCCTGAATCTTTCCCCTTGAGTTTGCACTAGAAGAACCAACTGCCCACGTGATGTCCATTCTTGAATGCCTGACAGGCAATTCAAACGTTAACATTTCAAAGCCAAACTCCTCCCCAATCTTGTACCTCTTTCAGTCTTCTTTATCTCAGCTAACATCAACTTCAATCTTGCAATCACTCAAGTCAGAAACCCTGGAGTATTTCTTCACACCCTCTGTCTCATCCCCTTCTTTGCAATCACTCCATGACCATCATCTAGGTCTCATAGTCTTGTGGCTGTTTCCAGGTTCTATCCAGTTACCAAGTTCAGAATCAGACCTTTCAATTTTGGTTTCAAGTTCCTATTGCAAATATTCTACCCTAAAATGATATTCAGGAAATTGAAGATGTAATTATTGAACTATTGGATGATTCAGTTCCTTTTTTTGGTCATCAGCATTAGTCTTTCTGTTTTTGATATGTTTTCTTTTGTTGTTGTTGTTGTTGTTTGCCAGGCTCTTTCTATGAGCAGAATGGCTTCATTCCAGTCTTCAAGCAGTAAGCCTCGTTCTATTCCTACATCTTGCATGGAATATTGTCAGCTCCCTTAACCCCACAGTGCTGAATATCAGATACTACAGCCTGCTCCTGGCCTTGGAGCCCAACAGGTCGGTAGCTTTGGTCAGATTCCCAATTTAGTGCTTCTCCTCATTTCTGGTTTATGGAGATGCTTATACTACTTTCAAGCCTGCCCACATTTTATTTTGGTTTCTATTTTTATATTTTACCTGTCATTGCTATGCATATGAAGCAGAACCTTCAGAGTATAAGTATAAACAAAAATAGAAGTTTATACTTAGTATCAGTATAAACAAAAATAGAAGTTTACTAAGTACAAACTTCTACACTACCTTAACCAAAAATTGTTGGAGTCAGTATTTTTCATTTCATTTTCACTGACTTAAGAAATGGCACTTTCTTCCTATATATCCTCTAATTTAAATCTCTTTCTCTTTATATAATACAGCCTCCCAAAATAGCAATAAACATATATAATGTGCCTATATACCTGAAAAAAAAACAACAACACAGATTTTCTGCACCATTGCATCTTTCTGAACACTGGGTTTAAATAAAAATAGATCATGCTTCCAAGCATGAAGCACTATAAGGATACCTACTGTCTAATTCCTAGTATTGACAAAAATCAACATTTCCAAATTTACAAGTGATAAAACCAGTGTGTACAAGGTGAGAAACTATTTTACAATGTTGAGGTATTCAAGTTCTTGAAATACTCTAAATATACTTCTACCTAGGCAGAGCTGGTTAACGTGTGCTACTTTTCTCTCTTAATTCACAGATTTTTTAAAAGTACATATTTATAACTATTTGTAGACATACGTATATTGATAAATACACTAGTCTAAATATATGTAAATGAAATTCAGGACTTCTACATAACAAGAAAATACAAGCCAACTTAGTTTACCAGGTATGCCAGCTTTTGGCTGGGTGCGGTGACTCACGCCTGTAATCTCAGCACTTTGGGAGGCCGAGGCAGGTGAATCACCTGAGGTCAGGAGTTTGAGACCAGCCTGGCCAACATGGCGAAACTCGTCTCTACTAAAAGTACAAATATGAGCTGGGTGTGGTGGCAGGTGCCTGTAATTCCAGCTACTCAGGAGGCTGAGGCAGGAGAATCGCTTGAACCTGGGAGGTGGAGGTTGCAGCGAGCCAAGATTGTGCCACTGCACTCCAGCCTGGGTGACAAGAGTGAAACTTCGTCTCAAAAAACAACAATAACAAAAAACCAGATATGCCAGCTTTTAAAGTCAAGAGATACAGTTTTTGTTTCTGGTTCTGCCATATCTTGCTTTATGAAGTCACACAATTCAGTGTCTTCAGGTCTACTTGTTTTCTTGCCTCTAAAATTAGGATCTTATGATTCCTTGTAGTTGTGAAATACTCTGATTCTACTCTTACTACTTTTATTATTCTCAAGTTTTTTTTCTCATTTTGCAATTTGATTTAATGTTTCTACAACTTACAGTTTCTTTACAATTTAGATTCAATTTACACTGTAACTTTTAAGCAAAGATTTCACGAGGAAAAAAACCCTAGATTTTCAAATAACAAATACTCTTTGCTATTAAGCAAAAATCAATTTATGGAAACATGTTAGAGAAAAACAAAACTGATGTTTATTTTTAAAAAGAGGTCAGATTTTATTAGCACTAGTAAGGTTCGAGCTTTCAAGGTACAAGGTGGTTAATGTTTTTCACGTCAACCATAAGAAGACATAATAGGAAGATATTAGTTTTCACTACCTGGGAATAAACAATAATTACATTTTTAGGCTATTAAAATGTTTCTTTCTTTCTTTCAGATTTTACCCAAATTATTCTAGGAATATCTTCAGAGATTGTATCATTTTCATATTTGATGAAAAAACTTAAAAACATGGAAACTCTGTTCAAAGATAAATGAGTTTTAAGAGTCAGGCACATACCCAGGCTAGAGTAGTCTGTTTTTTTCACTATTGCTCAAATATCACTTTGATAAAATGATTTTTAAAAAATTGCAGGTAGTATATTCCTGCAAAAGTTAGAAGAATCAGACTTAAAAAATAATATGCTTTAGCTTTTCTTTGAACACAATGGCTCCTGTGAAATGCAGCAAGCTTCAGCTGCCATCGCATGTGCCCAGTTGCCTCACCTCTAATTCTTTGAGGTAGTTAACTGTTGTTTCTTGTCTCATTAATATGACTAGGTCATGAGGATGCTTCAAGTTCATTGGTGAATCCACCTGCAAGCAAGCAATAAATAAACAAAGCTCAGATTCATTAATGCTTGTTTGGATTAACAAAGTCTCCTTTAATATGCTTTAAATTACTGTTCATTCACCATTGTAATCAGTGTTATTGCTCAGCAAAACTCAAGGAGTATTTCAAAGTGATCACATGTAAATGTTAGCAAAGGAAATGACAAGTTCAACAGTTGTCCTGTAAACTCCAACTTGGAAGAAAAAGCATTCAAAGTACATATCCTGACTTGACAGGTGATGTAATAGTAAAGAAGTATTTGGCAATGATTGATAAAGTAACTTCCTTAAATGATGTTTCATGCCTGTAATAATAAAAAATGAATTGTCTTGTTTTGATAGCACATTTCATATCTGAATAGGCTTGGAAGTGATAAAAGGAAAATATTAAATGCACCTCTTTTTGAAAGCTATTTGTAGAAGTCATAAATCAAAGATAATAGAAAATAACCTTGAGATTTATTACTTATTGCTCATGTTATCTGGATCAACAAATCAAACAATTATGTTGAAGCTGTAGAAAAAATGAACACTCATATACTGGTAGCTGGCTTATAAATGTGTTCTCATTGTTTGGAGTGTCATTTGACAAAATATATCAAAATGTTACAAGTGCATAACCTTTGAGCAAAACAAAGTCTAGGAAACTATCCTACAGACATTGTTCAATAAGTAGGCAAGGATATACATAAGGATGCTCACTACAATATTTGTAGCTGCAAAAGTAAAATTAGAAACAACCTAAGTCAATCAATAAAGTGACAGAGAGACCCACTGTCCAAAGGAATGGGATACAGAAAAAATGTTAAAGCTACTGCCAGTGACCAGAGTATGAGAGCTTCACATAAGGAAGCAGGAGAAGGTGCTTAATTTACAACTCTGTCCAGACATCAAGAGATAGCTATTTAGTACATGACTCTACAGGTATTTTTAAATGAGACTTTTAGAAAAAACAAAATTGGGGGAGGGAAGGACCTGTGGAAGTGTGACAGTCCCATTCCAAAATGCCTAACCCAGGCTGAGCGTGGTGGCTCACGCCTGTAATCCCAGCACTTTGGTAGGCCAAGGCAGGTGGATCACCTGAGGTCAAAAGTTTGAGACTCAAAAGTTGGAGACCAGCCTGGCCAACACGGAGAAACCTCATCTCTATCAAAAATATAAAAATTAGCTGGCATGGTGGCGCAGGACTGTAGTCCCAGCTATTCGGGAGGCTGAGGTAGGAGAATCGCTTGAACCTGGGAGGTGGAGGCTGCAGTAAGCTGAGATTGTGCCAATGCACTTCAGCCTGGAACAGAGCGAGACTGTCTCAAAAGAACAAAAAACAAAATAAAACAAAACCAAAAAACAAAATGCCTAACTAGTCTGTTTACCTGATATGTGAAGAATTGCAAGAAAGAAAAAATGAGATAAATGAAGATTGAAAGAACTATTTAAAGCATAACTTAGTTTTAGATTAAAAAGTTACTAGATAACAAAGTTTTACAATATTTGAATAGCATGGGTCTGGTCAACATTCAATTGTGAGGAAGTACTTATCATTTCCTTGAAGCTTTTAGTTCAGCAAAGATACAGAGGAGGCATAAAGATAAAAGTATTAGCAGAAGGAAGGGAGTTCACTGACGGCTGTGTTTCTCTTTTTGAGGTGACAGAAAATGGCAAAGATCTTTGCCAGACAAAGGTTGACTGCAGAAGACTTACAGCCTGACATACATGTTTTCTGAGGTACTTTCAAGTTCTTAAATTTTAAGATGTATGATAACTGTCTTTGGAAAATGTTAATGTGAATTTCTCACCTCTCAAATACTTCTCCTCCTTAGAAGATTATCAGAGTATGTTTGACAACTTTGTAAATACAGTTACATGCCAAATAACATTTCAGTCAATGGCAGACTGCGTATGTGATGGTGGTCCCATGAGATCATGAGATTATAATACTGGTGTTTTTTTTTTGTTGTTGTTGTTGTTTTTTTGTTTTTGTTTTTGAGATGGAGTCTCACTCTGTTTCCTGGGCTGGAGTGCAGTGGTGTGATCTCGACTCACTGCAAGCCTCCCTGGTTCAAGCGATTCTCCTGCCTTAGCCTCCCGAGTAGCTGGGATTACAGGCATCCGCCACTACGCCCAGCTAAGTTTTTGTATTTTTAGTACAGATGGAGTTTCACCATGTTGGCCAGCCTGGTCTCGAACTCCTGATCTTGCGATTCGCCTGCCTCGGCCCCCAAAGTCCTGGGATTATAGGCATGAGCCATGGCGCCCAACCTAATACTGTATTTTTACTGTGCCTTTTCTATGTTTAGATACACAAATACTTACCATTGTGTTACAACTGCCTACAGTACCATAACATGCTGTATAAGTTTGTAGCCTAGGTGTGTAGTAGGCTGTACCATTTAGGTGTGTGTAAGTATACTCTATGATGTTTGCACAAGGCTGAAATCACCTGATACATTTCTCAGAACACATCCCCATTTTTAAGCAATGCCATGGCCATGTTACAACATCCATTCAACCAATAAATGTTTATAAGCCAGGCCCACTATGAGTCGATGTTTAGAGTCTATGTACTCCTGTGTTATATACAACCTGTAAAAGAATGGTAATATGCCATTCAAAGTCTTTAGCATTGAAAAGAGGCGCTATAAGCCCAGAAGCAAAAAAGAGACAGGAATTAGAGAGAGGCAGGTTAAAAAGGACATAATGAACACACAAGATCTCAAAGCACTTTATGGCTTTTTCACAAAGGATAAACAACCCTACAAACTTCCATTGCTGCACAGCACAATAAATGATGCAAACAATAACCTAATTGTAAAGAAAAATTAGAATAATTTTCACTTAACTTTCAGGAGGTGAAGAAATCATGAAAAAGTATTTTAGAGAAAAATTTAAACTACAGGGAAAACCTGATCAAGTACCTGGAAATCAGACTCCATGGAATTCCATTATTCAGAATGATTCATTCTCTAAGAGTTCCAAGTAAACAAAATCTGACTGTTACTGTAGCAATTTATTATAATAAGGAAAATGACAAGCCATATAAGGCAATTCAATTTCATTTTCCTTTTAATACATTATGTAAGTACAAGTTGAATATTCCTTATCTGAAAATCCAAAATCCGAAATGCTCCAAAATCCGATACTTTTTGAGTTCACTGGAGCATTTTGGATTCTGCATTTTCAGATTAGGAATACTCAACCTGTACATGTATCCAATTATATATAACATGAGTAAATATTTTACTCCTATCAAATTATTTTCATGTTTTATATTAATTAACCAAGATATGGTTAATATCTATACCTCCAATCTGGAGCCCTATCTCAACAAATTCAGTAAGTTCACATGGTAACATGGAAATATCACTCAGTATATGAGGGTAATTATTTCACTGCCAAATCAGATTAAGGGTGAACATTTTAACCAATCTAAGAGTATAAACATTTTTGATGCCCTACAAAAACAAATTTGAGTCAATCACTTTTTAATTATTCTTTATGGCAGAAAACTGAACATTTCTGTTGTAACATTAATTCAAGCTCTTATGTGCAACTTATTCTTCATATATACTGCACACTTTTACTGTTTTTTAAATGGTATTCATCTGAGTACACGAAAACAACATGGGAAACTCATTCTTCTCCAAACAGCGGTTGGAAACTGATGAATATAATCTTAAATTATGCCATTCTCATTTAAAAGTTTTCCCCTTAAGTTAGAAACTAGGGACAAAATAATTTAAAATTTTTAATTCAGAATTAAAATTATTTAAATATTAAGATAATATGAAGCAAAACAGAAATCAGAATCTCCAAAGCCGCCAACATTTTGCCTCTATGTAAAATCTGAAATGGTTCTGTTGAGTGAGTATTTGTAGTGTCTGCTATGCAATATCCGTAAGTCCCTCCTTGTGGCAAAAGCACCCCACTTGCTTCCTTCCCCACATGGGAAGCCCTTGTCAGAGAATTCCTTTCCCTTGGTCATGGTGATTATTTCTAAGATACTACTCCAGTAAGGTCAGTTGGTCCTAAAGAGACTCTAATCCAGAACTTTGAGCTACTGGTAACTAGCCATCTTGTATCTACATGGGGCCTGAGAATGGGGATGAAGAAGCAAAGAAACAGAAACAGAAAAAGCGATCCTTGTTATACTATTTGAGTCCTGAATCAAACTGTATCTGCAGCCCTTAGAATCTGCCTAAACAGTCCAATGAAAACTTTACAATACAGAAAGTATTGGTGTGTTATTTCTAAACTTCCACCTAATTTTCACTGATGTCCCTCTGCCTAGGTCATCTTATTACTACTGTGGCTCTTTTAAGAGCCTCTGTGCCTTTGCACATACTGCTTCCTCTACCTGGAATGCAATTCTATCCTTGTGCTGTACACAAAAGCAAAATGACATTTCTTTTGTGAAGACATCCTTCTCTTGAGTTCCCATAGCACTTTATACACACTTCTGTAATAGCGTTTATATTTAATTACTATATGTCTGTCTCTCCAAAACATTTTTGGCCATAGTCATAGCTGGTTTAAATTTAAATACACATAAATCATTCAAAATCCAGGTACCAATTTTTGCTACATATAGGTATCTATTTTTTTCAACTTTTATTTTAGGTTTGGGGGGTACATGTACACGTATGTTAAATGGGTAAATTGTGTCACTGACGTTTGGTGTATAAATGATCCCACTACCCAGGTAGTGAGCATAATACCTTACAGTTTTTCAACCCTTCACCTTCTAGTAGTCCCCAGCATCTACTGTTCCCATCCTTATGACTATGAGTACTCAATGTTTAGCTCCGACTTATTAGAACATGCAGTATGTGCTTTTCTGTTTATGCATTAATTTGCTTAGGACAATGGCCTCTAGTTACATCCGTGTTATTGCAAAGGACGTAATTTCATTCTTTTTCCCCACTGCATAGTACTCCTTGATGTATATGTACCACATTTTCTTTATTCAGTCCACGGTTAATGGGCACCTA